TAAAAGAGTAAAATATAAAACCATTATCAAAACCAATGGTTATTGTATTATATAGGAAATTGCAATAGTAAATAACACTACTATTTATTTAGCATCTGCTTCATGTTCAGACTGACCTACTACATTTTGAAAATGTAATACCTTGTTTGTGTCTCATCTGATTCTGTGAAACTGTATCCTCGCTGTGCAGGTGAGCAAACATGGCTCACCTTCCCAGCATTCTGCCACCAGGCTGCTCGGCAGCACGCACACTCAGGCATCCGGGCTCCAGAGCCTGTGTGCTTGCTCTTGTACTGCAGTGGCTTGCAGGTCATTCTTGGGTTTCATGAGCAACAGGTTTGTGTGCAGAGGCACCATGGTCAGCTCAGCTTGGCTGGATCTATGAAGGGTCCTCGGGGCAGGTGTTATTTCTGGGTTAACCGGACAATGAGAAGCAGCGGCTTCCGCCATGGTCAAGAGCACAGGAGGCTGGAGACAGGCCAGGAGGCCTGAAAGGTCTCTCTCCAGTCCTGGTGGCTCTTAGACATCATTCTTTATCATCATTGTTAAGATGAGCTTTGTTGTTGATTTTTAGGTTCGTTTGTCTGTCGCAATACCAGGAAGTGAGTCCAGGGCCTTCCTACTGACATATATCCCAGGCATTTTTATTTTTTACTGTGAGATCAGATATTGCTAATTATTACCCAGTCTGGGCTTGAACTTAAAATGCTGGGATCCCAGCCTCCCAGAATGCTGGGATAACAGATGAGCACCACCATTGGAGCGTAATCTGCTAGGGGGAATTCCTTTAAATCTTAAGCAGGCATAGTAGTGTCTAGGTCCTAAGAACTCAGGAATTAGATTTCCTAGATTAGAGATTATTGGGGAGAGGAGTGTTTTCTATCTTGAAAATTAACTGATTATAAGGGAAAATAATTATTATGTCTAATGTCACAGACTTTGTGACATGTCTTCTGTCAAAACTAACAGAAGGAAAGTTACTCAAGTTTCAGGTGTTTCGATATGTTTTTATTCATAAATAGTCACTCATCCTGTTGTAGGTATATTCATTCTCTTTCTTTGTAGAGCAGATAATGAGAGTTTTGGTTTAGGGGATTTAACCTCTCAGAATTGTTTACCTAATTTAATTTTAATGTAATTTTAAAAAGAATTTTACATATAACTTAAAGAGAAAATAAGTTTTTAAATTTTGGTATTTTACTTTATTTTTATTTTTATATTTTTTGAAACAGGGTCTTATTATGTAGTTCAGGGTGACCATGAATTTGCTATGTAGTCCATGTTGGCCTTGAACTTGTGGCAATCCTCTTGCCTCAGCCTCCCAAATTCTGGGATTACAGGTGTGTGCCACCATGCCTGCAATTTTAAAAGAAAGTATTTTTAGATCAGTTTTATTGGTACACTTTACATATATATATAATGATCATATTCCTTGTCCGGAATTTGTATAAAAAGTATTTTCTATTCATACCATCACACATAATACAATCAAACAGATTAAAACCGATCAACCAATGAATGAAAACATTGTAAGACTTCAAAGCAATATAATGGGAAACCAGGATTACCATAAAATCTTATGTACTCTTACTAAAAAGTGTTTTCTAAGAGAATATGTATATAACTGTTTCAAGAGGTGAAATACATTTATTTTTTTTCAGCTAACAGATTTTTTTGAAAAAAAAAAAAACAATTTTTCACTGTGTTACATGATGTTACTGTACTGTTTAAGATGTAGTTTAATGTTCACGTCCTCTGACCTGTTCGACTGGAATTGTACTGTGACCCATTATGCTTCTTACATTTTTGGTAAATATTTTTTGTGTCCATTACAATACGTATAGTAGATCTTGGGTTGATTGCTTTGGAGTGTTTTTGTGCTTTGTGCTTTGTAAGTTGTATGTAATGACGTGGACAGGTCCCTGTCTGTCTCATCTCCTTTTCCCCATGGCGGTTTTTTTGTCACTGTAGTAGCCTTGTGTTTTTCTAAGTACAGAGTCTCTGATAAGCTGTTCTCAGTTGCCCTTGTCCTCCTGTGCTCTTTCTCTTCATATCTTTTGTTTTATTGCAAACTTGACAAGGAAGGATCTCTCCCCTGGTCTGTCCGGGATGTTTACTCTGCCCTGGTCTATAGGTTTCAGTCGCATGGGTATTGGTCTTGGAATAAAGGAGCGGCTTCCGAAGGAAGGGGAATGTTGGCTTTGGCTCGCGGAGCGCAGCCTTGGTTTTCTGGCATATTGTTGCAGAGCAAGTGTGGAGCCTTTGCCAAGGCTGAGCAAGCCTGGCTGCTGTCCTGCCCGGCCCCCTCTCCCGTCCTCGTCCTCGCTCTCCCCGCTCAGCAGGGCCTCTCCCTGGGCTTCTGCCCCATCTGGCTGTCCACAGCTGGGCCCTGTCCTGGGCTTGCATGCGGGAAGACAGCTGAGTCGTGCACCTCCTCAGCGTGCCTCTCCTCCTGCACTTCCACGGTGTCTCGTCGCCTCGGCCCTGGCCCCCTCAGCCTTGCTGAGCTCCCTCTGAGCCCCTGGAGGGCTCCTCTGGGAGAGGAGTGGGCCAGGTCTCTTCCTACCTGCTTCCCAGTCATTGGCACAGCTCCCGGTCCTGCCCTGGCAGGAGCCCACCTTTGCTGCAGTGGCTTTTCTTTGCTACATTTTGAGGTTTTCTTCCCTCTGTGGACCTTTCCTATCAGCACTTTTTTCTTAAAGCAGCTTACATGTTTCTAACCTCAGACAGACAAAGTGCCTTTCCCTACCTCCTCAGCCTGCTGCCGCTGCCCTGGCTGTGTGTGTGCTTCTCAGCTCACCCAGAAGGGGCAGCGCTGTGCTCAGTGCCTGTCTCTCCCCACTGCGCCTCAGGTCACGGATCCCCTCAGGTCACAGATCCCAGGCAGCTCCTTCCTGCCCAGGATGGTGCTGTCTTCGGGCAGGAAACATAGGTGCTCTCCGTGGCCTTCTAAGTGGTTTTGCTTGGCACTCCTACCTTAGTCTCTCCTCTTCCTTTCCTGCCTTTAGTATCTAATTTGCAGTCATGGGAATTTTAGCACCAAATTCGACCCTGCGAGGCCATTGCTTCCCACAGGTCTGGAGCCTGAGTGGGAGCCTTGCTTCCATGAGAGGGCCTTGCCTGGCTCTGCGTGGCAATGCTGGGCTTCTCCGTTCATAAGGTCGCTGTCTGCCAGCACCTCTGTCCTCTTCTGCCCTGCACACGTGCTCTTTGGTCTGCTTGCAGTACTGCTCCCCCAAACCCATCCCTCTCGTGTGGTTAGCGCCTGCTCATTTTGTAGATCCTTCTTGTTGTTTCCTGGGCTGAACTTTTCAGGGTCATCGCTGTGAGACTGCGGCACTGCTTTCCTTCCTGGAACTCACTGTCATCAGGGACTGAAGCGCTGTTTGTATGTGCAGTGTTGGTCGGGGCTCTAGGACAGACACCTTAGTGCTGACCACCATCTGAGTCCTCCAGCCTAATGCAGTGAGAACTCGGTAGCCTCCTCTGTTAGTTCAGCCAGAAGACACTGTCCTTAAACACGCACTTGTGTTATGAAAATGTAACTATTTAAGCACCGTGGAGCGCGAACCATCTAAGTGTAGCAGGAATCCTACCCACATGGGCTGTCATACAAAGTAAGGTTTAAAAAGACCTGCACATTTTGCTACAAGCCATGGGCAGGCATGACTTAATTAAATCTTGACTTTAAGTCATTCTGTTTGAGGACATTTTATTTTTTCTTATTAAACAAGTGCTTTTGATATTAGCCTCGGGCCGTGCTTGGTACCAGAGTATATGCTACACAGCTTCTTTCATCCGCGTCTTGAATCTAAGGTTGCCTTTCCTACCTGCTTTGCTCTTTTTATTCTTCCAAAGGGGTGGGGGAAAGGCAGCAGGTTTGCATCTGAGCTGTCATCAAATCACACTGTAGTCTTTGGTTAAGGAAGTGAATCTCTAACAGTGTTTGGTTAGTACTTGCTCATGGTAGTGGGGATTGAACATTCTAGGGCAAGTGCTATGTCACTGAACTACACCTCAGTCCTTTAAAATAATTTTTATTTTAAAATTTTGACACAAGCTCTAACTCATTTGTCCAGTCTGGTCTTGAGCCTGTGATCTTCCTGCTTCCACCTTTGGCCGTGATTTTGTGATCTTTGCTTCAGCGAATCCTGACCGAGTGGCTGTTATGTGTCAGGCCCTGCTCTGGACCCTGGGAATGTAATAATAGTGACGAGTTCTCCTCTTAGTGTCCGAGCCCTCTTGCCTTCCTGGGCTGGTGACAGAAGATAGAGTTACCTGCTGCTGGTGTCCTATATGATGTGTTTCTCTTTATAGGGGTTCTTAGCTTAATATAAATTATAAGTAGAGTTGAAGTAGTAGCTTTCTCCACAAACCATCAATGCTGATGATTTTAAAAATCAAGAAAAGTAATTCTTCCACTATTTTATTAGGTTATTTCTAAGAGGATGTGTGTTTTAGGGGATTAGGCCCCATTACTTTAACAGAGAAGGCCTCAAATCACACAGGGCCCCGTCCCATGTCCAAGCGTTCTTTTAGGTTGAAGAAATAAGAACCTGTAATTCATTATCAAGCCTGTTTGTCAAGACACCAGTTTACCTTTAATACCACAGGCACCATGGATTATCCTTAATTTCTTGACATTTTAATCTTTTAGTCCTATTCTGTAGTTAAACATCAAGAGAACACTGCTTGGTGACAAAGGAACAGAAAAAGTGTTGCCTTTGGGGTTTAAAATGGAGTTTAAGGATTAATGCCAATGTTGTCCTTCCCTGTAATCCTGTTTTTCTCATTGCAAACCCCTGTTGGACAGTTACCACTTTTTGAAATTAAGTGGAATGTCTTTGGGTTGTCTCTAAAATATTTTAAAGTTATCATTTTAAATCCTAAAGCAGTTCTGTTAGTTCCCACCTGATGCTGTTTCTGAGCTCTCTGCCCTTTAGCATGCGCAGTGTTGCGGCTCCCTGTGTCACTCACATGCCTTCCTTTGCTTTATCAAGCCGCTGCCGAAAGCCATGGTGTCTCGGCTCTGCGAATCCAAGAAGGTCTGTGCTGCCGCGGACATGCAGCTTCAGGTGAGTGTGGAGCTTTGTTCTGAGGGTTTCCAGAGCCCTTCTCCCATGTAAAGCGTACCCTCACATTCCTCGCAGTGCTGCACATTTGTTACGGTTATGATGCCTCTGAAGCACCCTTCATCCGAGTTGGAAGAACTTGGCCCAAATTGACTCACTCAGCCTTCACCCTGTCCTTAAGAAGTGGGTAATTTCCCATTTTCAGTCAGGGAAATCAAAGCCTACATGGAATACTGACTTCTGGGTCAGATATTTAAGCACCAAATTAGAGCTCAAACCTAATCATGTATATTCTTTTTCTTTTCTTTTTTTTTTTTTTTGTCTTTTTTATCGTTACCAGGGATCAAACTCACGAGTGCCTGCTTGCAAGGCAAGTGCTTATGCCGCTGAGCTAAATCCTTAGCCCATGTGTATTCTTATTTATTTTATGTTTTTACAATGATTTTGAACTTAAAAAAAAATCCCCCAAAATAAAAGATCCAATCAAAAAGGGGTAGAGAAATAGACACTTCTCAGAAGGAGTGCAAATGGCCTAAAATGCATAAAGAAATAAATGCTCATTATCACTAGGCGTTAGAGAAATACAAATTAAAACAATCCTGAGATCTCTTCTCACCCTAGAAAGAATGGCCATCATCAAGAAATCAAATAATAACAAATGCTGGAGATGCTGCAGGGAAAAAGGAACTTCTCTACATTGTTCATGGACATGTAAACCAGTACAATCACTATGGAAATCAGTATGGAGATTTCCTCCAATATTAAAGCTGTAAATTCCATTTGAGGTATCTCCCCAAAAGTATTAAAGATACCGTGTTACAGTGATAGACGCATACCCATGTATATAAAGCAGCACAATTCACAGTAGCTAAACCTTGGAAGCACCTTACATGTCCATCTGCAGATAAATGGGTAATGAAAAAGTGCTGTGTACACACAGTGGAGCACTGCGTGCCATAAAGAAAGATGAACTTGAGTCTCTCCTGGGCATATGGATGGATATGCCTTGAGACCAAAATGTTAAATGAAATAAATAAAACTGCAGGTTTAAGTTTCATATGGTTTCTCCTATATGAGAAACCTAAGTTATAAATAAAGAGCAAAATAAAAGATGGATGTTGGAAACTAGGTAGGTAGATCTTTCTCAGCTGGAAAGGGGACTAAGATGGAGGAAGTGGGAGGGAAGGGGATGGAAAGGGAAGGAAATGCTTTCCTCCACACAAGGAAGGGAAATAGGTCCTGCAGACATACTGATAGAGTACTTTTTTCTTGGAAAAAAAGATTTTGTGGTTGTAGATGGAAGTTGATACATGATTACCATTAGTTGTAGATAATACTGAAATCAGTCTCCCAGGTTGCCAATACAAGAAAAATGTCTTGCAGACAAGAAAAATGTTACAAACCATCTGGGTGCCAGGGCTGCATGATACCAGATGTTTAGATATTTACAAATGCTAAGCTTGTTTACAGAATTTCTACTCTCCATCAAATCTTGAGTTATGTCAACATAGCCTAAACACATCTTTCATCTTGGGCAGTGTTCACTTTGTGATGACCCAGTTACCTTTTATGGGGCAAGCCACTATTTAACTGCTGTATAGTTTTGAAAATTCAGACCCTAGAAAGAAATGAATATGTTCTGTTTTTGTTGTAAAATGTGTAATGCAATCCCGGAATGTAGCTGAATAGTACCACACTTGTACAAGTGGTAGAATGTGCTGTCAAAGAAATAAATATATACACTGTATATGCATATGGAGTACATATATGCACCATATATATGAAATATGTGTATGTAAACATCTGTGTGTTTCAGTGAAGATGCATATTGTATAGATAAAACTGAATTTATATTTGATTCTCTTAGTTCAGTAACTCAAGTTTCTGAGGTGTTTTAAGAAAATTAGTTTACTAAAAAAAAAATGAAAAAAAAAAAGTAGGCACTGGAGAAAATGTCAAGGGTCTTAAAAACAATCAGCGCCTTTAGTCCATAATTCACCTTATGTGTTTCTTGTTAAAGAAACAGTTGTAAATGGAGACCAGCATTTATACGCAGATACTCATCATAGTATTATTTATACAAGGGAAGCAAACAGTAGAGAATTAATAAAAGTAAATATTAGTTTTCTGCATGGAATAATGCTATCCACATGAAAATATCTTTAAAATTTTCAACACGTGGGAAATGTATTTTGTGCATTATCACAAAATTATTGACAAAGCTTGAAGTCATTCGTGCGGAAGTTGATCTCAGAAAATAACACTGGTGTCTTTATAACATGGTAACTGGGTATCTTTGTAGGATGATTATAGGTTGTTCTCCTGTTTCTTATGCTTTCTGAAGTTTCTAAAATGTAATGCATTTTTAAAGACAGAATTTCAGCCTCAAAAAAAAAAAAAAAGAAAATTAGTTTACTTAGCCCAAAAGATTCTTGATTTGCCGGCATCTGTAGTAAAGTTTTGCCTTTTGGAAGTTTGTGTTGTGGCTTCCTTTTTGAACTGTCATTCCAGTGATCTTTTTTTCTTTCTTTCTTTCTTTTTTTTTTTTTTTTTCTAAATCTATTTTATTTCAAGGAGAAAAGGGAAAATAAGTTAAAACAAAATTTCAAAGCACATCAGTCAGGACAGCAGTGGTACATACACTGTGAATTGTCATCCCCAAATCATTCATCCAGAGCACATCGGTGTTCCGTTATCCAAACAATACAAGACAAATCTTTCTCTTCAGCTAACTTAGAGAAATCAGAAGTATAACTCCATTTTTTATATACATACACATACACATGTACATATACATACATTGTTTCAGCTTCTCACACTAACAATATGGTGTTTACACATGTGTGTTTTATTTGGTTCACTAATGAGCATGGTCCTAAGTTGTATCCATTTACCTATAAAAGGCCCTACTTTATCCTTCCTCATGAGTGAGTAGTACTCCATTGTATAAAAATACCACATCTGTTTTATCCTTTCCTCAGTCGATGGGCATTTATGTTGTTTCCAAGATCTGGCTGTTAAAAACTGTGCTGCTGTAAAAACAACGATCTTTTAAACTGGAAAAACAACCTTTCCTTTCTCTCATCCTCAAAAAGAATAGCTTTGAGAGAGAGGGACTGAGCGGAAACAGAGACCCAGTGTGTTTCCTGACAGTGCTCTGTCTGTGCACACGTCCAGCTTCCATATCGTGCTCGTGCAGTGGAGACCAACAGGATGGAAAGGAAGCGAATTATTGCAGCTTTCTGAGGGGGTATAAATAGTGTTTTTAAAATTATGGGAAAAATTTATTGTACCTTGTTTTAAAAGCAGGCTTCATATTGTTCTGGGGCTCTGAGCTTCTTTGACCCAGGTGCATACCGCCAATTAGGGGGCCAGATAGACCGATGGTGAAAGGGGTGTTTGGTCTGTCGGCAAAGAAGCATGATACAAACACGCATTTCCTTTGCTTTGTTTTTATAGTGTAAAAAGTTATTCCATGTTTATACTGCTTTAAAGGCATTAATTGAAGAAGGGAAATTCTTCCATTCTGGGTTATTTATGGATTGGCGTAAAAACACAAAGCAAAACAGAACAAAAAAACCAATCTCAGTTCAGGTTGGAATTGAGTTTCAATTGCTAAATAATTTACTCTGTTAGGATATAGGTAAAACACAGCATGAGTAATTCTGGCTTCTCTGGTTATCTTTATGCATTGGTACTCACTACAGAATACAGACTTAAAAGATCTGTGTTAGCTGTGTATGTGTAGATTACCAGTTGGAGGAAAACAGTATTTATTTTTAGAAAATGTCTCTGTTTTTGTAGGCTTTCCTGACTTTTTAATTTAGAGCCATAATTCTATACCTAGATGAAGCCAGAGCTGGAGGTCATTTAAATTTTTTCTTTTATCTGGACTAATCCTCACTTCTTTCAAGTCAACAGCTGCACATTCTCCACAAATTCCATTCTGAATCTGAAAGATGCATAACAGAGGCATAATTGCATTTCAGAATTTTTCTTTAAATAAGACATTTCCTTTAAGGAAGCCAGTTTCTTCTGTCAGGTAATTTCCAAGCCTTGTTAATATGCAAATCAAATGTCAAAGTGCAAAAGCACTGTACTTGATTGAGGTTTTTAAACTGCGTACAGTTGAGTTTTCATTTCTTTGCAGACATCACATTTCTTGTTCCCACTGTCTTTGATGCTTTATTACCTATTATGTTTCAGTGGTCTGCACCTTCTATTCAGAGCAAGGGTGTCCTCCTCTCTTGGACTCCTGCTTGAGCCAAAACTGTCCCTGTGTGACAGCTGCTTTCTTTGTACGTCCCGGTACCAGGTGTGGGCTGTGATGTGGGGTCTCCCTGTCACTCTGAGCTCTCCAACAGCTGCTTCGGGCTTCTGTGGAGCACCTGTACTCACAGATACTGGATTTTTATTCCTTCCTCCATTATGACTCTCACCTACTTAATATTCTTTCACCTCTGGTTGTAAAACTAGGATTCTATTTCATTTCTTTTATTTAAGGTCTACAGGATCCCAGGAAGAAGCCAGACAGGTTATGTTATATATTTGGAGAGTTTCAAGTTTTAACTGTTTTCGTATACCTTACTATGTGTATATTGACAGAGTGCCAGTTTCGAGGTCACAAATCTATCTTGCAGCATTGTCCATAAAAAGTACCTTGTGAATATGGCTCAGAATTCTTTAACATTCTTAGTCATGAAAGGGTTGAGAGCATTCCTTTTAATCATTGACATGGTCTTAAATGTGATAGGGAATGCATCTTGAATCATACACATACATATTTTTGAGTGATTTCAGCTGCGACTTGTAATTATTATTTTTTTTTTGATGTACTTGTGACATGTTTGGTTGAGCAAATCTTAAATATGAGACGAGACTACCAAAGCTGAATAGGTGTTTGCTTCTGTCTAGGTTTTTTATGCCACTCTGGATCAGATCTACCATGGGAAGCATCCCCTGAGGAAGTCAACCACAGACATTCTCCGAGAGACACAGGAGGACGTTTATGGCCTGCCCTATGTCCCCAATACTGTGAGTCCCGCCTCTCGTCCTGCTGTGTGCTATAGGAGGCCTCTGCGAGTGTTTTGTGGGTTGTGATCTACTTCCATTGTGATGGACTCAAAATCCCTACATTTATGTTGAAATTCCACTTGGGGTGGATGCTGGGAATTGCCCGGCTCCAGTCTTCAGTTTGTGTGTTCGTGTTTTCCTTCCTCTGTCACGGTCTTCCTAGCTTCCTGGGAAAGTGAGTATTAGGCCACTGGAGTTCATCAACACCCTTCTTTTTAGGTATTTTTTTTTATAAGGAGAAAAATAATGATAGAAGATGAGCACGATTATCATTCCCTGATTTATTGAGTCCCTCATACTTTACCAGGGATCATAATAGATGCTTTACCTCCTGTCTCCAGTAGCCCCGTCAGAGTGGAGAGCAGGAGTGGTGTTGTGTTTGTTGAGTGCTGTGTGCCAGGTTCTACCTCATTACTCTGGTAAAAGATCTCCAGCTCGGCTCTCACACCAGCGCTGTACTGAGGCCCCTGCACATGGCATCCTCTGCCTTCACTGCTGATAAGTGATTGCACAGTGTGAGGACTCAGCACCAACCTCAGGCTTTTTTCACTAGTCCAGGATTCCTAGAGGGACGCTAGAGCGGTGGGGAGAGGACTGGCTGGCCGGGTAGCAGTGCAGCTGGCTCTGGAGTTCACTCGGGCCTCTCTGGGTTCGGTGGGTGTTGAGGTAAGCAGAAAAGGGAGTTCATTGATTGTATGTGTGTCTTGTTAGCATTTTTAAAATGCATGAGTGATTCATCTTGGGAATAATTGTCCCATTGGTTATCTCAAGGAAGACTGGTTTAAAGCTTCCTACAGAACCCTGCAGAATCAACCGTTGCTCATGGACACTGTGTCTCTGGTGCTGTGTCTCCAAACCTGGTCATCAGAAGTCTTTGTGGATTGTCTGTGGATGCTAGCCCTGGGTAGGGCGTGTTTGGGAGAACTGTGTTTATAATAATGTAACTTTTTTATGTTGCTAATAATAATGTACTTCCATCATTACTCCATGGTAAATCATGAATGCTTACCAGTACCCTCGCTTGTGTCAGCAACTTGTTAATATTTGTGCAAGTGCTAAGCCTCTGAAACACAGACCAACTTACCGTTTACTTTTCCTGCTGTTTCATCATATGATGAATTTGATACTAGAATTCCAGAAGTTCCTGCTCAGCTGTGAGTAGAGAGAACTTTTACAACATAGGCTGACACCCTGGTCTTCTGTTGTTACTTTTCTTCCGTTTAGAGCACAATGTTTTGGTTTTTCTATCAATGACCCCCTCTTGTTAAATTTATTTCTAAGGAATTTGGTATCAGTCCCAGTTTTAACTCAGGGAAGAAGAGGTTATATTTTTATTTTTGTGTGTTTTCCTTTTAAAAATGGCTTTGTGTTTTACATTTTCACTCACCTCTTTGCACAGGTGGGGAGTCAGGTCTGGAGGGAATTCTAGAGCCTGCAACCCTCTGACTCTGCCCCAGTGAAGATTTTTCAAACGCTCAGCATGAACAACTGCTTCCGTTCATCTTAGAAACTGTAGTTTCTGACAGTCTGTTAATGGTCATTGGTAGTTCAGCAGTTTGAACTGATTTGTTGAGTGAGTTTTGGTTGTAAAGCAGTGTTCCCCACTTCTTCTCAAAGTAGTTATCTTTGAATAAATCATAGTATCAGTGAGCCAGTCTCTGTCTTTCCCAGATCTCATGTTGAAAGGAGTACCATACAGAGAATCAGAAAGTCCTGAGCACTGTCCATCTTTACAGGAACACACATACTGTGTCTAAGAAGATTGACTTTCTCCTTAGTTTGTAACTTCGTGCTCATTGTGTGGGTGGTTTAAAAGCTGCTTAGGGCTAAAATTAGAGTTATCTCAGGAAACAGTTGCAGCGGGATGTATTGCTACTTGGACATTACTCTTGTTGGACAAGCACCAGTGAAGAATGTGAAAGGGAGATTGTCTTGTGAATAGGGTCCATATGTAAGTTTTGTTGTTGTGTCTGGCAGCAAACTGGCTTCTCACAGTGATGCAGTGGACACTGGTTAAAGGTGGCCTGCTTGTAATTCCAGCTTCCCTGAGGGGATTCACATAACCTACACAGTGAGTTGGTTGCGTAGACCTGTTTTCAAATGGATGTTACTGGGTAGATCCTGTGAAAGAACACAGTGCCAACCCAGATTTAGGGTTCCAGGCAGGACCTCTTGGAGAAACTCCAAAGGATGTCTGGTCCAGTGTATTGAGCTGAGCCTTCCATAAATAGTGTTAGGGAGGAGTCAGTGGGCTGGGCTTAGGTGGCAGGAGGCGAAGGAGGGAACGTGAGAGTTGAGGAGTGAGAATGGCTGGGCACATGGCACTGCAACTCAGCAGCTAGGCAGTGCGCTGCGTCCCAGCAGAGTGGGCACTGGTCCGGGCTCTGGCAGCCAGGGTGGGAAGACAGGGCAGGCCTATCCAGGGTGTGCTGCCGGCTTACTGGGAAATAAGCAAATACGCTGCAGCCTGCTCAAGCTGTATTGCTTCAGTAAGCTTGCTGTCATGGGGACCCATTCTAGTAAGGCTTATTTCCATTCAATGTGTATGCATTTCACATTGGTCTAGTTATCCCTCTATAGCATGCCACGTTATTGGAGCAAAAGCAGGTGAAAACTGCATTAGATATAGTCAGATGCACATTAAAGAACACACTTCTTTTAATATACATCTTTGCATATTGGTTCAGTTGTATTGTTTATATTATTGATGATGATGATTGCTATTTTTATAAAGTATGTTTCTGTGTTATACTTCCACTAAGTACCTTCATGCATCGTACATGGTCCGAGTGATGGAATACAGCACTGAATAAAGCAGACCAAACTCTAGCTCTTACAGGTCTTGTGTTGGGAGTGAGTCACTTGTAGACATGCATGTGCTGGTGGCTTTATGTACTTTGTGACTGCCCTGTCAGATATTTTGTTGTTAAGGAAGATATGTGTTTGCTGTAGTCAAGTTACTCTGCGTTCTGAGCAGATGGGTGGAACCTAGAGAGTTGTGAAGATGGCCTGTCCTGACGCATGGTGCAGCAGGCATAGTGGGTATATTTGGAGCCCAGTTTTTAATACTAGGGCTGAAAACTTCAAGAGGAAAAGAGGTGACTCTCATTAGCTCCTGTGTCCTTCACGCTCACCAGCATGGCCACTCTGGCATCTGCACAGTGTCATCATGTGTCCAGGGGGGCTCCGCATTCCTGGGGCATAGTGTCCCCTGGACACCATGAGCTGATTAGAAGGAGAGGTGGTCCAGGACAGAAGAGAAGAGTGGTTTGGAGGCTCAGGTCAGCCATTAGACGGACCTGGGTGTTTGGTGCTTGGCAGATTGGAAAGTGGTGGTAAAAGTGAAGGGGTGGGGAACGACGCCCACTGTTTTAAGTGGCTGCCTGTGGGGCTGGGGTGGCAGTCTGCGAAACACAGAGCCCAGGAGGGGCCCAGTTGATGGGGTGGGCCGAGGTGGTGAGTTGTACTTGCCATGACTGGAGCACACTCAGCCGCTGGATCAGTAGGTCTGACGTGCAGGGCACAGGTCAAGGTGGCAGCGCTGAGATCTGGGTGTTCCCCCTGGAGTACAAGAAGCTAGGTAATAGGCAGCGTGCTCAGGGAGCTAGCCAGGAGTGAAACGGGAACTGTGGGCCACTGCACCAGGGCTGTTTGAGGGCAGGTGGTTGAGAGTGAGCTCGCCAAAACAGCCTTTTTTCAAGTACCAGTAAAACCCCCAACATTTTGTGCATATTTCACTGCTCTATCACACTGTTTCACTACTCTAATCACAGCAGTGTAATGTTACACTCTATCTGATTATTTTAGGGCTGTATTGGTTGTATCATGGCTTGAAACAGCTTATAGAATATTTGTTTTGAATATGTATCCCCAGTTTCCAAATAACAGACTAATGAATGAATCTCACCATATAACTTATATGCAATTTGGAGGCTTCCCATGTTGAAATTCCTTGATTTTTGGACTGATTCCTAAAGTGCTGTCGCTGTGGCCATGATTACACGTGAAAAGGAAAGTAACCGCTAATTTCCTAGCTGGGAGAGGCCGTCCACCAACAGTCGGAGGGCTCTTCCTGTGGGGTGTGTGTCCCAGATGACTGCTACACAGCCCTCAGCCTGGAGCACGGTGGGTGGGGAGAGGAAGTCACTGCCCTCTGGTTCACCGTTGGAAGTTTGTTTTTCTAGTAGTCTCAAAAAGCAGGAAAAAAAGTACCCATTCAGAGAAAATGGCATTGTTATGCACTGTTTTTTTTTTCCTGTCTTGGTAGCCAATTAAGAGCTTCTTTGTTTAAAAAAAAAGATATATGCATACATATATATCTATATCTATATCTATATCTATATCTATATCTATACACACGTATGGAAATACATAGGATGTGTATGTATGAGTGTATATATAAGATGACTGACGTTGCTGCATTCAAGTATATGAAAAATTGTTTTTATATTTTTAATTCTAAATGCATAAAGCCTTTTTCATTTTATAGGTGGTCATCAAAATTTACTTATTTAGGCAGTGCTGGGCATTCTAACTGTGAGCTATACCCCAGTCCTCAGGTTCACAGCTTATTTCACTTACTAATCTGAAGTTGCATCACTGCTTATTGACCTTATGTGGCATTGGTATTAATGATTTTTAAAATACCAGGTGATCTTTACATTTTGAGTAATTGAGGAAACATGAAGAATAACTGTCTCCTAAATGATGTCTACATTCTAGATTAAAGTGATAATCAGATCCTTTTTCAATAGTTATTTTCAAAGTAAGACGGGTAAGAGCAGCCGTGACCACACGGAGGGGTCTTTACGTGAGTATCCGAGGTCTACTTCTGACCCCTGCGCTGCTTATCTCAGTGTGTCAGATGTCAGTTTAAAGAAGGATGCTGACCTCTTTTTTTGTTAACATGTACAAAAATACATTCTCTGTTGAACAATGGGACAAGAGCCAGGGCAGTTAAG